CTGGGACAAGGGCTTGCAAGTGGATTGATTTTGGTAAAGTAATCTCAAACAGGACCAAAGAACAAGGAAGAGCAAAACAGGAAATGAGGCAATTTGTGCTATTATCTGGTCACTGCTGTGAGCAACTGGAGTGCAATCCCTATAGGCGTCTTCTACAGAGCGATGTGGAAGGGACCTCAGAACTGTCAATCTGAGGGATTTATCCACTTACTCCCATCCTTCTTGGTCAAGAGGAGTCCCATAGGGTGTGAGCTCTCTCTCACATCTGCAGTAGTCTATGCATGAAATTGGCTAAGTGGGTTCCTGCAAGTGTTCGCATGAGCTGGGGCAGCAGCAAAACCACGATGCAGGATGCTGTCAGTGTGCTGAGTCCAACTGATTGCTGGAGTAAAATGTCAGACTGAGAAGATGGGAGATAGGTCTGGAAAGTTTCCTAATGCACAGTGGGTAAGTGCTATAATACAGCAACATTAATATACTATGAAAACTGAAATTGGAAAGTGCCATAATACAGCAATGTTAATATATTATGGAAACTTAAATGGAAAGTAGAGATGATACATGGGCTTTGAGTCATAAGTAGAAGTGTTGAGGGCTTACTGTAATTGCTCTACCACTTGCACCCTTTTTCTTTACAAATATCCGATTAATTAATTATACTCACCATCTTCTGCTCCCAAAGCCTAGTATTTTTAAAAGAAGAAATGAGTTGAAAAACTTAAGTATTTTTTCCTATAGCAAAAAAAAAAAAAAAATTTCAATGTAAAAAGAAAGTGATTGGGGGCTAAAAATAAAAAGCATATTTCCCTCTGGAGTGTGACTTACACTTTACTAGAGCTGAGAAAAAGCATGAGAAAGCACCTGAATAAATACATGCATTGTGTAATCTATTTAAGTGGCGAGAAGAGTGAATTTAAATGGCACTGCAGTGAACAATTCATAACAGCGAGGAAATGCACTTACTGCATATCTTAAGCAATATTCTTACATGGTCTAAAGTTGAAAAACAAATTTTTTTTACTACAAACACCCACTCTCAAATACTAAGTTTCTATAGGGTGTACTGGTATCTTACTAATGATACCAAACTTTCCAAAATTTTGTGGTGGAACTGTATATTCCTTTCAAAAGAAAATGTTTATATAACATGGTTTTTGCTTGCTTGGTATTAGAAGACGGAAACCATTTCTCATCCAGATAAAAGAATGTTAAGAGATGTTTTGAAAACATCTATACAGATCAAAAGAAGATGCAGATTAGGTTTTAGAAACAAACATTTTAGGTTTTAGGTTTAGAAACATCCAAATTCAAATTTTATATGATTTTGATTGCATTTAGGATGTCTGTGCTTTCCTTTGCCACCATATAAACAAAGTTTTTGTTTGTATCTGAACCGTTGATCCAGGTTCTCCACATTCCCATTAGCACTTGGTATTGCCAGTTGTTTCCAACTTTAGCCACCGTGTGAATTTTTGATTTTGGCTATTTAGTGGTATCTTGCTGTGATTTTACTTTGTCTTCCTTAGTGATAAAGGAGGTTGAAAGCCTTTCTATATACTATTTGGCCTTTTGTATATTTTCCTCTGTGAAGTGGTTGATCAAGTGTTTTACTCTTTAATTCAGTTCAGTTCAGTCGCTCAGTCAAGTCTGACTCTTTGCAAACCCCATGGACTGCAGCACGCCAGGCTTCCCTGTCCATCACCAACTCCCGCAGTCTACTCAAACTAATGTCCATCGCATCAGTGATGCCATCCAACCACTTCATCCTCTGTCATTCCCTTCGCCTGCCTTCAACCTTTTCCAGCATCAGGGTCTTTTCCAATGAGTCAGTTCTTTGCATCAGGTGGCCAAAGTTTTGGAGTTTCAGCTTCAGGATCAGTACTTCCAGTGAATATTCAGGACTGATTTCCTTTAGGATGGACCAGTTGGATTTCCTTGCAGCCCAACGGACTCTCAAGAGTCTTCTCCAACACCACAGTTCAAAAGCATCAATTCTTCAGTGCTCAGCTTTCTTTATAGTCCAATTCTCAAGTCCATACATGACTACTAGAAAAACCATAGCTTTGAATAGACAGACCTTTGTTGATTAGCTTGTCCTTTTATTATCAACTTGTAGGAGTCCTTTATATATTCTGGGGAGAGTCCTTTATCAGATATGCCTATTTTAAATACTTTATCCCAATCGGTGGCTTGCATCTTCACTTTTTCTTGGTAATTCTATTTAAGTTAAGGTATAGTTGATATGCAATATTACATAAGTTTTAGGTGTATAACATAGTAATTCATAATTTTAAGATTATGTTCCAATTACTGTTATAAAATATAGGCTACACTGAATAATATGAATAATATGTTGAATAATATGTCCTTTTACCTTATTTAATACAAAATAGTTTTACCCCTTAATCTCCTACCCCTATTTTGATTCTCCCCCTTCCCTTTCTTCAATGGTACTAGTTTGTTCTTTAGATCTGAGTCTGTTTCTTCTTATATTCATTAGTTTTTTAGATTCCACATAAAAGTGATATCAGTTATTTGTTTTTCTCTGAACTTATTTCACTAAGCATAATGCCTTGTAAGTCCATTCCTGTTGTTGAAAATGGCAAAATTTCCTTCCTTTCTAAAAGCTGAGTAGTACTCATTTATACATGTCTTCTTTATCCACTCATGGATGGACACTTAGCGTGCCTATGATCTCAGCAACTGTAAATAATACTGCTATGAACTTTGAGGTGCATGTACCCTTTTGAATTAGTGTTTCCATATTTTATTTTATTTTACTTGGATATATACTCAAGAGTGGACTTGCTAGACTGCCTCTTTGCTTTCTTAATGGAAACTTTTGATGAACAGAAATTTTAAATTTTGATGAAGTTCAATTTCTCATTTTTTTTCCTTTTCAGTTAATGCTTTTTATATCTTGTGTGAAAAAAATCTTTTTCTACCCCAGGATACAATTTTTTTTTTCTAGAACTTTTTTAATTTCACCATTCACATTTTTTCTGTAGGTTGTTAGGTAAACTGAATATTTTTTTTCACATTTTCCCAGTTATTCCAACTGGAAAACTATTTGTTGAAAAGATGATCCTTTCCCTTTGTCAAAAAGTCAACTGACTATACGTAGTTCTTTTTTCTGGTTTCTCTACTCTGTTCCATTGATCTATCTATCTAAATCTATGCCAAGGTCAAAGTTTCTTCAACACTGAAGCTTAGTAAGTCTAGAAGTCAGACAGAATAAGTCCTCCAACTTTGTACTACTTCAAATTTTTTTTGGCTATTTCAAGTCCTTTGTATTTCCACATAAAATTTGAATCACTGTGTCAATTTCTACCAAAAAAAGCCTTCTGGGTTTTTTAATGGGAGTGCATTGAACCTATTGATCAACTTGTGAAAACAAATTAGGAAGCTAATTTTTTTCTTTATAAAGAAGTCCATAGGTAGCAGTTCTGATATGATGTTACCTTATTGTGCTGTTTGCAACCTAGGCTTCTTTTGTCTTGCTACTGGCCTATCCATGGGTTGTCTCTTAATTAAAACAAGGAGCTAGTGTGTTACCTCAGGTATCAAGTCTGCAATTCCAGAAAAAGGAAGAAGGAAGGCAAAGGACAAAAGATATATGGCAGCTGAGTCTTTCATTGGTAAGGCATCTTTTCTTGAAGCCCCTTCTAACACTGTATACTTAATCTCACTGAACTGTTTTATAATGTCCTTTCTATCTGCAAAGGAATCAGGGAAAATGTAGTTTTTGAGATGATCCTCTAAAAATTGAAGCTATATAAGCTGAAATAAAAAATAAAAATTGAAGCTATATAAAAGAGTTAGCAAAGAAGAAGAAATAAAAGTATACTGTTGGGTAGGCAAATAGGTGTCTGTTCAAGCAATAAAGTTTCCTCTGTAAGACTGCTAATCTCGTGTTAAGCACAATGGTGAAGGACCAGGTTTGGTGGAAAAGTTCATAGATAATCTACTAGATGGTTTCAAGCAATTAATTATAACAAATTTGAAAATTATGGACCAGAGGTGTTTGATGTTTACAAAATAAAATGAAGACATTTGGACATCTTGTTTAACAGCATGAAGAAAATGTCATTTATTTACAAATGAAAGCAGAATCTGTTGCCAGAATTCAAGACAACTTCCTTCTATTTTCTTCTACAGAAGAAAAGTAATCATCAGACAGGAAAAAAACACTGATTAAATAGCACATGTATTTTAATAATGCCTTAACAGATGTGTACCTCCTGTTCAAATGAAATATACCATTGTTTTCTATTCATTTCAAGTATGAACAGAGGAGTCTGAGTAAAGATTATTATACAAATATTTTTCAAAAGGAAGTGTCAATTTTAAAAACTTATTTATTTTGAGCTGTGCTGGGTCTTCAGTGCTGACACAGCTTTTCTTTAGTGGTGAGTGCGTCTCATTGTGGTGGCTTCTCTGGTTGTGGACCACAGGTTCTAGGGAGCACAGCCTTCAGTAGTTGTGGTGCACAGGCTTAGCTGCCCCACAGCACGTGGAATCTTCCCCAACCAGGGACTGAACCCATGACCCCTGCATTGGCAGGTGAATTCTTAACCATTATACCACCAGGGAAGTCTGAGAATTTATATTACGATGGAATTCAAAAAATGTGCAAATAAGATGTTCAGTTACAAGCTGGCTGAGGTTTAGGGAAGAGGGAAGAGAAATAATGATTTTGGCTGACAGAGTCAGGGATATTTTGGGGTGATGGTGATGCAAGGCAGACGGTAGAATCTTGACATGATGGCTCCTGGACAAAGTGACTAAGAAACATTTTCACTTTACAGTTAAAATCATATCTGAACTTTCTACTTTCCTGTTAATTCATACACAATTTACCACAGAAATACTCTATTTTCACTGACTTCTATAAAATATTTATTGTTGAAATGTGTTCATGATATCATGAAAGAGATTATTATTGGTTTACCTTAAAGGGTATAGAGAAGAAATGATTGATACAGTCATCTACTATACTCCTACAAATCAGGTTTCTCTATTAGCCACAGGTCTGATTCTGGTTGGTTCCACTTTTCTCCAAGCAGTGTGTTAAAACTGAAAGGCTTGAAGTATTCCAGACGATGGCTACATGCAAAGAGAAAAATAGTCGGAATTGAAATGAATTATATATTTGTGAAAAACTTGTTCTGAGAGTCTATTTATTTTGTCATATCTATTATAGGACAACATTCTATTTTAAGAATCTCAAAGGTAAGATGTATTCACATGTATAGTTTTCTTACTCTAGCCATCAAACATTCAGCTCTGAAAATATTCACCCATATCTCAAAGCACTCTCCTTTCAATTCTGCAAATAGCTCCCTCACAGCTGAAGACAAATAAAAATCAACCATCAAAACCTGACTCATTTCATCTAGTCTTAAACAAATCACATTATATTCTCACAGATATTTTCATATTCAAACTCTGATATGATTTATATCAGTTATACAAACAATTGTTTTTAAAAAGTTTCAACTCAGTAGATTAAAGGATAGACTCCTTTGCCAAAGCAAGGCAGATTTATGTAAAAAAGAGTTAAATATAATTCTTTCTCTTTCTAGGAAATCATTTAACTATTAGGATTTACTACCATTTAACTATTAGCTTTTTACTGTGGCCTAATGAGGAGAGAGGGGCTTCCGAGGTGGCGCTAGTGGTAAAGAATCCACCTGCCAATGCAGGAGATGTAAGAGATGGGGTTCGATCCCTGGATCAGGAAAATCCCTTGGAGGAGGGCACAGCAACCCACTCCAGTATTCTTGCCTAGAGAATCCCTCGGACAGAGGAACCTGGTGGGTTACAGTCCATAGGGTCACAGAGGGCTGGGCATGACTGAAGCAACTGAGCATGCCAAGAGGAGAGGCAGGTTTAGCTCACATGCTGCAGAGCAACCCAGCTCTGAAGGAAACCCCTCTGCTCTAGCCGACAGCATAATCACACTTTTACCTAGAGTAAGCATCCAATAACCTATAAACAAAAAGCCCAAATACAGGAGTGCATTAGCTTGTGAGAAGCCAGAGAAACCAGCCATCTTGGTAAGAAAGCCCCGAGTGAGTGGCATCCAGATTCCTGTCCCACTCTGCCCACCTGACCAACTGAACCAGTTTTAGTCACAACTGTCAATCCAGATGAAGCAGCTAAGGAAGCAACATCGAAGGATAAGAGAAAGGAAGGGAGAAAAGAGGCTGGTTAGAAAGGGTCAGGACCTGGGAGAAAAGCAAGGGGGAGAGTGGAAAATAGGTCAGGCAGAATAAAGGAACAGGCATGAAGAGATAAAAATCCAAGTAGAGCAGAGAAAGAGCAAGACAGGAAGGGCCAGGGAGAAAGACAGGGCAGCACTTGCTCAGGGGAGAAGGGGAGGGAAATCAGCCTACCACGGTGCACAGCCCACCAGGACGTCTCCACTGGGCTTGTCTAAACATGCAGACTCCCCAGGCTACCTCGGCCACTTGAGTACACTCAACAGAGTGGGACTCTCGGGGGCCACTTGAGTACTCTCAGGTTGCCCCAGGACAGGGTCTGGCTTTCCTCCTCCTAAGTGGGTCGTGTTTGCAGCAGTCCATGAAGCATTCATAAGACTGGCCGGGGGCTACGTTCTCCTTAAGTGACGGCTTCAGGTGCAAAGAGATCAGACTTCAGTGGAAAGTTTGCAGGTGACTCCTTGGCTTGTATGCCTGCTGCCCCACAGGAGACAGTATTTCTTGTAATAACTCTCTAGGAGTAGCTTCCAGGGTCCCCACAGGGTACATTACTGTTAAAGGGAAATCCCTAAGCCCTGCTGTCCGCATCTATGCTGCCTAGAAATACAGTGACATTTTTATCATCATGAAGTGACCAGGAGAACAGAACTAGAGTTAACTTAAGGTCAGATTCTCAAGCAGCAGAAGAAAAGATTTATTAACCCACCACTCACACCAGGAAATACAGATGCCTCTGGTCATTTACCTCTGAGACGGATCATAAATAAATTTGCAACTATACTTCAATGCTAATTGCTAAGTACTCACTAAGAAGATTCTTCTCACACTACTGTGGAAATATAAGTGCTCTACTGACAGCAGTAGAGAGACACGTATAAGACTATGCTTGTATGTGTCTTCTTTGACCAAAAAATGTTACTGCTACCGTACCACGAATTAATTAAAAAAAAAAAACTCTTACAGTTGGGACATTTTTTCATTTATTTTCTACTTACAAATCAGGTTTTTGTCCTTGCTGCAGCTTATGTTGAGGTACAGGGTAAAGAGCTTCATAGTTTCTTTTATCTTTTGATCCATGAATTGCAAATGAATTGAATTTTGTTACATTTGGTGGAAAATAACTCCAAGGAATATAAGCACTGCCTTGCCATTTTGTTTCTCCTCGGGACACTTTGAATGACAGATCAAGTCCTTGCTACAGAAACAACAAGTGAAACACAAAAAGGTCTATTCATATTTATACTTTAAACTGGAGAAGAAAATGGCAACCCACTTCAGTTTTCTTGCCTGGGAAATCTCATAGACAAAGAAGCCAGGTGGGTTGTAGCTCGTGGGGGTCATATGAACAACCCATGAACCACGAGTCGGACACAACTGAGCAACTGAACAACAACAGTAACAATATACCCTGTACACTTAAAGCATTTTGTCTCATATTTTCATTTACTTACTTTCCACACATTTCTTCTTCCAGAGAGTAAAAGCACCAAATGCTGTCCATGGCTGTAAAATTTAAAATTCTTCATGAGTGTTTGAAACGATCATTATTTTCTTCACTACCTTTCACGTCCACGTGTGTGTGCACATGCTAAGTTGCTTCAGTCACATCCGACTCTATGTGAACCCATGGACTGTAGCCTGCCAGGCTCCTCTGTTCATGGGATTCTCCAGGCAAGAACACTGGAGTCGCCTGCCATGACCTCCTCCATGTGCATGCTTATGACTAAGTTTCCAAATAATTAAAGGATGCAGTATGCATACTAGATAATTACAGGGAGAGTCAGCATGTTCAGTTACTTAGAAATGACTTATTTCCCATCAAATGCATAAAGTTACACATGTTCAGATTCCTCCTTTATATTATCTAAATAAGAAATATGAAATATTTCAATTGGTTAGACAACACACAGTATGAAAAATGGGTGGGATATTTGGAGTTCATTAGAAAACTTTTTTTGAAAATTAAAGTATCCTAAGGGAAGCTGGCACCAATTTCCAGGTCAAAATCTCACAACTTTTTAAACTGTTATTTCTATAAGAAAACTGTCTTGAAGCTCATTAAGGAGATAGAAAATAAAAATATAGTTTGTCTAAAACTACTTAACAGGCTGAAGACTTTAATTTGTAACTAGGGGCTTCCCTGGTGGCTCAGAGGTTAAAGCGTCTGCCTCCAATGCAGGAGACCCGGGTTCGATCCCTGGGTCGGGAAGATACCCTGGAGAAGGAAATGGCAACCCACTCCAGTATTCTTGCCTGGAGAATCCCATGGATGGAGGAGGCTGGTAGGCTACAATCCACGGGGTCGCAAAGAGTCAGACACAACTGAGCGACTTCACTTCACTTCCTAGTACAATTGCCCTCATTCCATCTGTCTGTTGTGCTTTCCTGCTTTCTACTATTAGTTCTGACACTGATGTCCATTTTAAAGAAGAAGCACAACATATCCCCACAAAAAAATTCTAATAAGAGAGAATAATTGGGATTATCCATGTCAGTAAGAATCAAAGGATTTCAAACAGCTACATGAAGCAAATTTACCATCTTTGTAAAAGACTGTATCTAAACATTTGGCACAGATGGTCTATTGAGAGTTTTCTAGAAGGATTTCCTTCAAGAAATGAGTCAAAGACAAACAAGTATTCTTTTCCATTTAAAAGTTCTCTGCTTATTTTTATTGTTATTATGCAACCATACGAATATCTTAAGAGCAACAAAAGGTCTTACAAATTCAAACGTATTCAAATTGCTTTCCTAGAGGTTAACTGTTATACGAGTTGCTTGCCTGAAGCAAAACCAAGATTATTGATTATTAATTGTCCTAATATATCTAAAACTGAACTTTTAGAATTTTATTCACAATGGTTATTGAATAATTTTCTAACAAAAGATAAATCTATTCAATGTATTTTGTGCTAAGTCATCACTTTATGAAAATAAACTGATACCATCTGACAAATTTAAGCTAAGGATGTAGCTTAAGAATTTGAGCAGATCCACGTTCTTGACTAATCTTCCATACAAGTTATAAACCTATTTGCCTTAGCTTTCTGATGTATATGGGAAAATTTTCTTACTTCACATTGTAGTTTATGATAATTAATCATATTTCCCAAAATTTTTTTTGATATGTTATTTGAAGGGTAACAAAGATATATAGTAACTTCTGAAAAACTATAATTGTAAAGTTATATTAGCAAGAATTCAAAGTAAAAGAAAACTGTATCCAAAATCTCATTTAAATCAATTGTTTGGGTCTCTGCTTAGTCTACAAAAGGACAAAGACTGCAAGATAACTGATACTGAGGAGTACTGAAATGTCATTCTAAAATAGTAATGTATATAAATAAATATTTCATTTCTAAATATTAACTTGTCTTACAATTTAGATTAACAGGTAGGCATAAATTTACTTTTTCATATCTAGAGCAAAGAAAACTGCCAACCAGGTAGACAGTTCCCAAGGACCAGTTAAATTTGTACAGAGTCAGTCCATGGTTAATAATTTTCTTGAGTCTAGGAAAAGCCACGTGTGATTTAGTTTTAATCTGTGGCACACAAAATGACATAGTATATACTCAGTAAATGAATGATGAATAAAAGGAGGAATAATGAACACATAGTTATGTAATATATAAGATTAAAAATTTAACCTAGTTATTAAAAGAATCCCCTAAAGTCATTTTCATAAAGTAATCATCACTTTCATAAAGTAATCATTTTCATAAAGTAGTTCAATTCATTATATCTATATGCCTCTTTATTTCTAAATAGTTAATATATAATAATGCAAATTTACAGTGTAAATAATGAGTTTGTTTTATAAGAATTTTTCATTTTGCAAAACAACCTTCAAATTTATTAGAAAAATTAGTGAATTGAAAATAGTATCAATGTAATATTTTCTAAAACATTCTACATTACACATCTACTTGAAAACAAAGAATTACATATAATTCAGATAAATTCAGACTAGCATTCCCACTAGTTAGATAGAATTAGTGAGCTTTTATTAATCTATATGGTTTATAATTAGAAAATAATGTGTTCAAAATATATAGTAATGAGTTAGAAAAAATATTTTATACTTACGGACAAAGTTCAACTTCTAAATACTGTTCAGTTATGTCAATCAAGAAAAATGCTTCCACAACTTTTGAAAACAGAGATAGGACAGATAGAGAAATTTAATTTTGCTTCAACAATTAATAATCTATTTATATCTTTAGAATATAAATGAATGAATACATTATCTTTAATTAAAGCTATATCACCACGAGGAAAAGAGGAAAATAAAAACTAGACACTGCCTGTAAGAAAAAATACATAAAAAATAAATCATCTTTTTTCTCCATATCAGTCAGTCAGTTCAGGTGCTCAGCCGTGTCCAACTCTTTGCAACCCCATGGACTGCAGCACACCAGGCCTCCCTGTCCATCACCAACTCCTGGAGTTTATTCAAACTCATGTCCATTGAGTCAGCGATGCCATCCAACCATCTCATCCTCTGTCATCCCCTTCTCCTCCTGCCTTCAATCTTGCCCAGCATCAGGGTCTTTTCCAATGAGTCAACTCTTTGCATCAGGTGGCCAAAGTATTGGAGTTTTAGCTTTAGCATCAGTCCTTCCAATGAGTATTCAGGATTGATTTCCTTTTAGATGGACTGGTTGGATTTCCTTGCAGTTCAAAGGACTCTCAAGAGTCTTCTCCAACATCACAGTTCAAAAACATCAATCCTTTGGTGCTCAACTTTCTTTATAGTCCAACTCTCACATCCATACATAACTACTGGAAAAACCATATCAGATAGCCATTAAATAAAAATATTAATAAAGCCTAGTGCTGGTGAGGTTGAAAAGCAATGAGCATTATCACACAGACTCTGAGCTAGTTATCTTTTTCAAGGAATTTATCCTAAAGAAATAATCACACAACTGAGAAAAGAAGTAACATGCTATTTATCAAAGTATTACTCAAAAGAAACGGTCTAAATGGTTTACCTCCTGTTATATATAAATAAACCTATTATATAGGAGAGGCTTCCCTGGTGGCTCAGATGATAAAGGATCTGCTTACAAAGTGGGAGACCTGGGTTCGATCCCTGGGTTGGGAACATCCCCTGGAGAAGGGAATGGCAACCCACTCCAGTATTCTTGCCCGGAGAATCCCCATGGACAGAGGAGCCTGGCCGGCTGCAGTCCATGGGGTCACAGAGTCGGACATGACTGAGCAACTGAACACACATTATGTAGGAGAGCTGTTAAAAAAAATAATGAAATCTGTGTACTCCATGTAACAGAATATAATTCAATCATTAAAATAAAATATACAGTTAAGTTATTTTTGATGCAGGAAAGATACAAGGAATGATACTTGATAAGTAAGCTGCAGAGCAATAAGCTAGTGTACATGAAACAAAAATGTACACATATGCCTGCAAAATGTGCACAAAAATGTTACGGCTGTTTATTTCTGACAAGTGGAATACAGGGGGGTGATTTTTCTTTACAATTTCCTGGAATTTTCTGAGCATGCTTATTTAAAAAATTAGAGAATTATGAAAGTGATATACGCTTATTATCAAAACAATATAAACATATATGTAAGTAAAAAGTCAGTCTTTTTCTTCCCACTTTGCTCTAAAATCTGTCAGACTTCTGCCTTTCCACAATTTATTTTACCTGCATAGATTAAAAAAATGTATGTATAGAATCATTTCCTGCTTACAATTTGCTTTCTTCACATATATACACACATGCAAGTTCACAGCATACAGATGACTAATTCTTTTTAATTGCTGCATAGTATTCTTCTATAGAATGTTATGATTTATTAACATAATCCTTTATTGATAGACATTTAGATTGTTTCTAGATTTCCATGTGTTATTTTTATAATAATAAAATATATTAAGATATGGTCCCAGTAACAATTCAGTGAGTCTTATTATTCCTTTTAAAGTCTCTTTATCTATGGCAAGGATAGTAGAATGAAGAAGAGATACTGAATTAGAGAAACACTTAGGAGGTGAAACTGATAGGACTTGATCCAAATATAGAGACAGAAATGGATATCTTGAAAAGACATCACATTTCTATATTTGGTGATTTGATGTATTATGGTGCCATTGACTTAGATTGGGCAATTAGGGAAAGAAGTAGGTTTATAAGAGAAGTGGATTACTTGAGTTTAGGATTTGCTGAGTTTAGTGTCTATAGTACCTCCAGTATATAACTCACATTAGTGTGAGTGACTAACATGATCAGGAAGTTGGTATATAAAAGTTATATATCAATAAGAAACAATATATGTTTAAGATGTGATAAATTAACACCAATAAAATGCATGCCACACAGATGGTATAGAGAAAGTAGATGTTAGTGTGGACTAGAAAAGTCATCAAAGGTTTCTTTGAAGAAATGGAAACTGAATTAGACTGTGAACGATATGTGTCAAAGGTGGGGGCTTGAAAGAGAAAAGGTACGTAAGTGAGAATATGACCGAAAGGTTAGACTATCAGCCTTTAGGAAGTTAAGAGCTTTTGGTTTAATATGATAGCTCGATTCATGAGTACCCTGAAAGCTTAGGGGAAGGATTTGAACCTTATCTTAGGGACAGTAAAGATCTGTAATCTAGGGAATGGCATCATAAAGATTATTTCAGAAAGACATGTTTGGTAGCTTAATTAGGATTCATTAGAAGATGATCATACAGCAAACCTGAAACTGCGATTTCACGGCAGTTCTCTTAGCCTTCCTTTGATGTGTGATTATTTGCCAGTATAAAATAAAAACTATACTTCATGTTGAAGTTGATGATGTTTTTATAATAAGTAAAACACCCCAAAGCTTCCATAAAGAAGGTTTATAAGGTTAAAGTAGCCATTTGAAGATACTTAAAAACAAAACAGGAATGCTGAACTTTTCTTAGAATAGGTAACGGATGTAAAGGAAGGAAATATAGCAGCAATTTAAAAATCTGGATTTGTAATTGCCATTCTTCACTGTTCTAGTTATATAGCCAAAGTCCATAGGTAATGGTGAAAAAGTCAGAATGAGAGATTGGTAGGAAATATCAGAAAACTGCACATGTCAGGGGCTCAGAAGCACTCACTTCCTTAGAGCAAGATAAAATAATAGTTCTATGAGAGGTTATTATAAAAAGATTTATGCTTGCAATAAAATACAGCACTTCTACTCACCTTCATAATCCCACAATTGATTGAAAGGTTTTCCTGGCTCTCCTAGTGGGGCTGGAGGATCACTGAAAAATGGAGCACTGACTTCCATCATCACTCCTCTGTCACCTGGATTCAGCCTGACAAATACTGGCTCATGCGTCACTGGAAAACCATCCCAAGTGTGTTCAATTTTAAAATCCATCTAAAGACTCTAAGGGGGAAAAAAAAAGAAAAACTAACATTTGCAAATGTTTCCTTTAGAAAGAAATGAAACAAAAATTTCCAAGCCAAATAGCAGGCAGGAAGGCAGCAGAGTGACAAGAACATGATTCTCAGAGTCAAAAGGCCATTCATGGTGTGGTAAATTATGGATATGGAATTCTATTATAATAGGTGATTGGATGCTAAAATTGTTAAGACTAGATCTGCCTAGTTACCTTGTAAAGAGTGTATCAAAATAATTTTTAAGAACTGTAACTAATCCATTGCAAACTGGTCATTTACTTAAAACTATAAGCACTATAAGTTTATATGCCATTCTTTGTCTTATTGTAAAGTATGCAGATGAATTACTGGATTACCTGAGAATTAAGATCTTTACAGTAAAATTAAGTTTGATTTTTCAAAATCTGTATAAATGAACACAAGCATTGCTGTTAACACTGTTCTTTCGGCTAAAATTCTTTTCCTTTTTGCAGTGAAAATGGAGGAAGGGGCTTCAAGCATTTCAAGACTGGCAAAGTTTAACACTGTCATCCTTAGTCTCAGAGTAAGGTTTTTCTTAGCCTTTTCAATCTTTGATATTTCAAGTGTTAAATGACCACGTGCTTGGTTAATCCCTTTTCTCCAACTGAAATATGGTAACTAAATCTGCGATCATTAAACTTTCAAATAGAAAAAGTACATCTGACACAAGCAGTATTTTCATTTTAAATTGTTACTCTAAGCATTAAACAGAAGGACACAGTGTTAAATTAATAAAATTATGTTCTGTTGAACACTATGGATCAAGCACTTTATAAAAATTTTATTTCACAAAAACTTGTAGAGAAGCTACTATTATATATTACAAATGAAGAAACAGACATGTCCGAGACCAAATAGCTAGTAAACCAATAAACTGAACCAATGTCAGTCATGCTTTCCCAGATGAACATTTCAGAAATCTGCAAATAGAGGGAAACCTTATTTAGGAGTGACAGACTCCCCCCAGTTATACTAGGTCCTTATGTCTTGCCAAAAAGATAATCTTGGTTAGTAAATGATGATATTTCTAGACTTATCTGAAGTCTTCGAATGCATTTCTTTGCTTCATGTTACTTTTATTGCAAATAATAAAGTTCCACATTTTGAATAAATTTGCTTCAAGACATTTTGTTCAGGTTTACTGAGGTATAATTGACCAAAAAAAAGGTATATATTTAAGGTATACAATGTGATGGCTTCATAAAAACTATACTTGAATAAATTTATTCCAGCAAATATATATTAAGTACCTACTATGTGCCCAGCATTGGGAGATCCAAATATATAAGCTGTGTGTCAGATAACAAATCCAAGAGCTTCAAAAACCTTTTCGTAAAGTATGTAGTTTTCTCAATTTTCACTATACGCTAACAAATTTTAATAACTTCTAAAATTAAAAAAATAGTTATGGTATTACAAGCCATTTGCAGCTAACAGCACGTGAGAAGAAGAGGATATGTTGAGCAATTTATATTCATCATTGAAATAAGCTCAGTAAGTGATAAGACTGTATAAACTGACTCTAATATATGTGGAATTTAGTCCTGATTTGCATGGGATAACATACCTCAATAATAATTTTATTTTGTTCTGTTGAAATACGAAGGCACATTCTTCAAAAATAAATATTTTACCCTCTATTCCCAATTTTGGTACCAGTACCTTCTTGCAGCACAGAGGAAGAAATAAGAATAAATCAAGATGTTAGAAATGCTCACTAAATCTTATTCTGGTACTAACATGCTATACTTCTAACTTAGGGCTTGACAATTTTTGACAATCCTGGCAAAACATAGCTCAGTGACTAGGAAGTTTTGGTAGATTCACTCATTCTCCATACAATTACCATATCCAAACACACACAAAACGTTGCATACATTAAAGGGATGCCTATCCTAATCAGTGGGTTTCCACCAGGGAATTTTCAACTCCCAGTTCTTGTAGGCCATCATCTCTATCTATAAATGGAATTAAACCATATGCAGTGATGTGCTCCTAAAAATAGCCTGTCACTTCCAAGCACATATGCTGGTTTGTGGTAAGACTGTGGCTTCAAATTACTGCAAAATGTCATCTTAGCTGGAAGATAAATAAATGATAAAAGCGGAGCTACTCTCATTGACAGTAAAAGGTAGTGATCATCTAAGTCTTTTCACTGGTTCCTTCTTCCTTTTCTTCTAAGGTTTCTTTGAATATTATTTGTAAATTACTGCAAAAAACATCAGCTAGACTTAAACTAGCAAGGAAGAGCGCCATGGCTGATATGATCAAGGGTAGAACCAATGGAAACAGAAACAGACTTTATTACCTTGGGCTGCAAAATCAACGCAGATGGTGACTGCAGCCATGAAATTAAAAGAGGCTTGCTCCTTGGAAGAAAAGCTATGACAAATTTAAACAGCATATTGAAAAGCAGAGACATTACTCTGCTGACAAAGGTCCACCTAGTCAAAACTATGGTTTTTCCAGTAGTCATGTATGGATGTGAGAGTTGGACTATAAAGAAAGCTGAGCACCGAAGATCTGATGCTTTTGAACTGTGGTGTTAGAGAAGACCCTTGAGAGTCCCTTGGACTGCAAGGACATCAAACCAGTCCATCTGAAAGGAAATCAGTCCTGAATGTTCATTGGAAGGACTGACGCTGAAGCTAAAACTCCAATACTTTGGTCACCTGATGCAAAGAACTGACTCATTAGAAAGACCCTGATGGTGGGCAAGATTGAAGGCAGGAGAAGGGGGACGACAGAGGATGACATGGTTGGGTGGCATCACCAACTCAATGGACATGAGTTTGAGCAAGCCCTGGGAGTTGGTGATGGACAGGGAAGTCTGGCGTGCTACAGTCCATGGGGTTGCAAAGAGTCAGACAGGGCAGAGTGACTGAACTCAGAATACAATTTTGACTTAAATTGCATAAAATGATGTTAGTTTCATATCAAAACAACAAACTTATTAATCTGCTTAAAGAATACATGAATCTAAGTGTACATAATACAACAAAATCAACTAAAAAGTATAGTCCTGCCCACTAGTTTATAATCTAAAGAAAATACTGGACCTAGACACAGACAATTGATTTCCCTTTCAACTCCCTAGGAACACGTAGGCTTGTGGTGGCTTAACCCCACAACCTTTCTATTTTCTTTGTTTGCATATGTGCTCATATGAAGTAGAGATGATTCATTTATCAGTGCCCTTCACAACCTGGGCTAGTGGGCATCCGAAAAGCATTCCACTCCCTGTCATTCTCTATTGCCCATACACTGCTCTGTTTTTGTTCACAGCACTTAAAACTACATGACCAACTTGTTTATTTTCTCCCCATAAGCTAGAATGCCTGCAAATAACAAGAACTTACTAATTTATTTGTGGAGTGAATAACTGCTCTAGTCTCTGGATCTAAAACTTCATGATTCTAAGATTTTATGCAAGAGAAATCAACTGTATTGGTGTATCATTATTTTTTTCAACACTGTATATTAATATGATGGCAAATAACTAAGATAATATATCACATCTAGAAACTTCCTTTCAAATTAGCTTATCAAAGGTTTATTAAATGTTACTCATTTTGTTTCAGGCACCATAGCAGGTATTGGATAGTGTACAGAAGTCTATGGGGAGTTGGCAATGGTTCTCATGTAGCTAATCAATCAGGACTCATCCATTATCAACTGGTTCATTTTGCAGTTCAGTTTAATAAAACTGGATCCCTACACCAAACTAAATTTTAAATGAATCAAAGATCTAGGGCATTTCCTGGCGGTCCAGTGGTTAGGCCTGTGCTTTCACTACAGGGCCTGGGTTTGAGCCCTACTCGGGGAACTAACATCCCACAATACAAGCAGCACAGCAGGAAAAAAAAAACCCAAATAACTAAACATAAATCAAATCACATAAAAACAAGAAAGAAAAAATCAGGAGCTTGTTTTTAAAAGATAATCTTACAATAGAAAAGAAGCCTTTTAAAATATAACCCCAAACCCAGAATACATTTTGAAAAAAGACTGATACACTGATACATTTGTCTATGCAAGCATTTAAAAAATAAAAGCAAAAGTCCATCTTCCTCCACCACAAAAATAAAAACTTGCCATTACAGAATCAAAGACAGTCTGGGAAAATATACCTGCAATTCATAGTTGAGATAAATAACTAATTTGTTTAATGTTTAAAGGGCTTCTAGAAATGAATAAGGAAAATATCATATCAACAGAAAAATGGTTTAAAAGTATGAATAGCCAGCACACAGAAAATACAAAATGTTCTATCTCATTAATGGTAGAAATGCAAACTAAAACAATAAATTACTATTTTCCACTTATATTGTCAAGAATCAGAAAGGTTAATATAATGTCGTGATAATGAAGACACAGAGAAACAACCAACAAGTTATTCAGGCATAACTGGCACAGACCCAGTAAAGAGCATCCCTCAGTAACTATCAAAGCAAAAAATGCCAATAACCTTTGACTCAACAACTCTAGTTCTAGGAGTTATTACACCTGTACCCATTCAAAATGACATGCTATAAAGATATTTGTTTTAACATTGTTCAGAATAACAAAATATTGTTAAGCAACTTAATCACCCACAGGTAGAGGACTGGTAAATAATGCTATCTCATACAATGAAATAGCCCACAGCAGTTAAAAAAAAGTGAGGCAGCTCTATATATACCAGCTAAGATATATTAACTTAAAAAAGCAAAGTCCAAAAAGTATGCATTTACTTAATAAAAAGGGAGAGTATTTGCATACATGCTTGTGAATGCATCTACTATCTCAGGAAGTATATATGAGACGCCAGTGTATCAGTAATTGCCTTTTTGGAGGGAATTACCTGCCTGAGATAGCTGAAGAAGTTTTACTTTCACTGTATCACTTTTTTAACCTACTTGAGTTTTATACTAAAACAGACACTAAAACAGACATCCATAACTATTCAAAAATAAT